CATCACTATCAATTTGTTTTTAAAAAGGAAAAGCCCTACAGCTCTAATGGGCTACCCGTTTGTATAATTAAAGCATAATAATTCAGATATGATACTAATTGTAAATCTTAACTAAATGGTTAATACCCTCTTGTTTTAGCTTAAGGCATCTGTTAATTCATCCCTTCTGTACCTAATAGCTTTTAAATTCTCAGATATTTCACTTTATCTTAGTTCCTTCTCTTCCTACCTTACCTAATAATTTACTTAAAATAGTTGAAAATAAATAAAAAAGAATTATGCACACACACACACACACACTTTAGGCTAAACATGCCTAAAGAACCCCAAGGCCATTTGTGTGTCTTATTTCCAAAATAAATCCTACATTTTCTAATGATTTCTTTCCAAGCAGTGTTCTCTCTTTAGGGATAACTGAATGACTCAGCAAACTGCACTTAGATCAGGAATCATTCATCCCTAGGAAAACTGCATGAATATATTCTATGCTCATAGTAACTTGGAGTCATCCCCACTAGACGGCTGCTTGGCAATTAGGCCAGACTAGCTGGGAGGTCTAATCAGTTCCTACGGGGCACGGCCTCTGCGGCGAAGCCTGCGGGCACTGCGGGGCAATGGGCTGCGCAGCGGGGCCAGAGGCCGAAAGGAGGTTCCTCACGCTCCCCGAGACGGTTCCTCTGGACCCGGAGGCTAAGTGTGTTCCTGAGCCTCTGCCGGGGCACGTGGGTTGGGAAGATGGGTCCCGTCATCAATGTGCTAATCCTAACTATATAGGTGAGGCAGAAAGGCAAAAACCACCTTATAAGTTAGAAGCACAGGCCTGTGACAACGCAGTGTTTTCCTCATGCAGCCAAAACATTAAAAACACTAGCTCTACTCAGTTTGAGAAGAAAATAGGATAATTTGAACAAATAAAATAAAACAGGATAATTTGAACAAATAAAATAAGAAATGATTTGGAAGAGCCTATGTACTTTCTTTTTATCTAATAAATAAAAAGCCACTATGCAGGAATCAAATGAAATTAGAGAGATTTTATCTATTTAATATTTAAAGAAATGGACAGGCTGTGGAACTCTACCATGCAGACTTCTATACTGCTACCTTAAGTTATAAGCTCTTATTTAAAAAATCCCTACATGCTATAGTTTTAAAATAGGCCACTAAAACATAATGCACATATTTCTGGTGGGGAAGACAAATTCTAGAGCTTATTTTTTGTGATTCAAACAATGAGTCACTCTAAGGTACCAAATTACTCATTAATTTTAGTGGATTATATGTAGATCAGTCACAATCTTTTACTTGATACTTTATTCATAGTCTTCAAAAAAAAAGGTGTGACAGCAGAAGTATATTATGGTATGATAGACTAACAGTCTCAAGACATTTGTAAATACAAGGATAGAAAAGGATGAGCTCAAAATAAAACAGGAGCAGAAGAGGTAATCAGATACAGACATTATAGTACATTATAGTATGCATAGCACAAAATTGCCAGTCAAGTACAGAAGATAGAACGTAAAGGATAAAATTTTTACCAATCTTGGAAAGTACTACTAGAGAAAAAACACGAAAAAATAGCACACTTATTTCAATGTACAAAAATGATTAATGATCAAACCCAGAAATATTTTCTCTTCCCTGTTCTATATAGAGCTCTTTGAATTAGATACAATGAATGAACTTTTCTTCTAAAACAATTCTGAAGCAAAGATGCTACTTCTGGCTTACCAAGCTATTCTGACATAAAAAGAAAACTTATTATCTTCTTGATAGAAAGGAGGCCATGAAAAAAAATAAAATCAAAGGAAAATTATTAATTTCTATGATTAGAAAGATATGCCAAATACATTACTATACTTTCATTCACATTTTTAAAGGAGTATGAGAGCTGGATTACTAATTTATTATTATTTAAAGAGAAAAGTAACTCTCTTCCAGGGGAGAGAGGAACTTGATTTTTTTCCTTCACACCAACCAAACTAGGTACAAGGAAGGTAAGAGGCTCTGTATTAAGAACAAAAAATATTAAGTTAGGATCACAGCTCATTTTCTTTTCATGAAGCTAAAATAGCCATTTCTACATCGAGGCTAGCAAGCACTGTTAAACCTGGAGCAAGAAGCAGAGTTCTCCACCTGTTTCTTTAAGCATAATCTCTGTCCTTTGCCCAAATTTAAGTTTCCCTTTTTTTTTTTTTTTTTTTTTGGGAGTGCATGTTTAACATATGTAAAATATTTTCAGAAGAAATCCACAAAGCTAACTTTCCAAAATATGAAAAGTTTATTAGAAAGGTATTATCTGCTTCTCTAAATCTGCTGAGGAACTGACATCTGACACGTACTTACTTTGGCAGTCGTTTCCTTAATGGACATGCGGAATGATTGTTCTCTTTCCTGAAGGCTAGAAGGGATTAAAATAAAATAAAATAATGTTGACTTTGTCTGCTCATCACAGTCTGCTACACAACACACACTTTTATCATACAGGAACACACAGGCTTTAAGGTGACTCTTACTAGCACAAAGAACCAATAAAAAGATAAAATCCTTGATGTGGTTTCAGTGCTTATATTTTGTTTTGCTAGCGACTAACCAACATTTTCCACCCAGTTCTACCCCTATTTATTTGCAAAATGGATCGCAGACTAGTTTTACACTTTTTAATTAAGGACGTATAATAAAGCACATTTTATTTACCAACACAACACAATTATGATTATTTGCATAACTATAGTATCTAGAAGTACAAAATAGGGTTCAGGACTAGTGTATGGTAGGCTGCCATGAAGTATTTAAGAAAAAAAAGAAAGCTTCTGTCTAAGAACATGCAGTTAACTACCCTCTCTTATAAGCAGGTTTCCAACTTTGCCAGGAAATATTTAAATGCAAGTCACTTGCCTTCATTTCATAAGCAAAACCAGGTAAGTTTAGTAATCTGATATAACCGAATATACTGTAATCCTGTGAGTTTATTTATGAACAAAAAAAATAAAACACAAAGATCAAAAATTCAAGTCACGTAGACAAACACTAGGAGTCAGCGAGATCTATTTTTGCAACCTTTATTTAATGCTTCCCTCCCTCCTGCTTTGCAGAGACACATTTCTAACAGTGTTCGATTACATTATTACACCCTATTTTCCCTTCAGTAAGACACTTCATCCAGCCCCCATGACAGCCAGCATTCCCTACCAGCAGCATTTCAATTCTTGCTCTTAGCCTCACTGTAAAGACTATGCTTATTTTACAACCTGCCTGTGATGCTCTTCCTGAATAAGAGCTACTAATTTATTCCCAAGCTTTTCTTTAGCGCTCATCACTGGAGTACCCAAACATTTCAGAAACACCCCTGGCTGCATTTGGAGCACTGTAGAGCACAGCACCGCACTCAGGTGTTGGTGCAGGAATCTCAGGAGCGCCGTTCTTCCGCGCGCACATCAGCACTGGGCGCCCACCTTGATGCCACGCGCAGTCGCTGCTGCCCACCTTGAAGCATTTCACTTTTGCTGCTTCGTGTTTTCCCAGGGCAGCACTTACGGAGCTCTGTTTCAAGACTCAGCATTTCTGCACGTCTGAAACCCAAGGACACACTCCACGAAACAGCATTTGACTGTGTGGGTTAGCAGCAGCCTAACGGAGCACGCGAAGCCGGGGAGCTGGCCCACGCGCAAACTCAAGGCGCAAGCTCAAAGCCATCTCCCACACACTCCTCCGAGCTCTCCCGTAACAGCCCTTGCTACTGCAACACGGGCGAACAAGCTACAGACTCGTGGCTCTGCGCGCGGCTGGCGAGCGGGAGCAGCCAGGCCACGGGCACGACTGAATGAGCCACAGGCGACTGGGCCAACCGTGTACCAACTGCCTCATCCTGTCCCACCCCACGGAGCCAAGACCTAATAAAACCTAAGTGCTGTTATAGCCAGGAGAATAACAGTATGGAGATGGCACTTCTTTCTTCCACAAATCTCTTCTGTGTTCATTTCCTCCCGCCTGTTCACTTTACTGACAAAAAGCCCCCAAAGATTCACGTTGTGCTTTACTCCACTGCAGGGGAAGGGAGATCAGTTTTTATTTATTTTTTAACTCTACATCCAAAAAAAGCAAAAAGGACCTATAGCCCCGCCACAGAATCGACATTGCTAGCAATGATGCACAAGCCCACGTGCACTTTTAGATCCAGCGCTGAATGGGAAGAGAGTATGCAGAGGAAAAAGAGCAAGCCTCACTTTATTCAGATTTCTTGTTATAAATATGTATCGAGTCACCAAAAAAAGCACACATGGACTCAATCCACTGTAGCTTTAAGAGACAAACTTACATTAATCTGAAGAATATCAAGAAAGACTATCAGCATCTGTTAATCATAGCCTTGATCCTTAACCACACAGACTTGACTCTGAAGAACCCCTTTACTACAATTAAAACATTCATGCAGACTTTATAACTGCATTTGCATTGTTTATGCTATGAATTTCACACTGCTAGCTTGTTTTGCATTTTATTTAACTCTTAGAGTGATACTGTAGGAATTCCTTATGCCTTTTAGAGATCAACCCACATGATTCACATGCAGCAATCAAAACTGCATGGACCAGTCAGTCTCATCACCTACAAATAGTCTTTTAACTCAGTTTATTCCCACATTTCGTTCTGCCCAAAACACCAGCTCGGAGAAGCCCCTCACAAGCCTCCCAGGGATGTGACCAGCTAACGCTCCCGCTGACCCCCAGTGGCCACCAGGCAGTCAATACTGATTCATTCGACCGACAAAGGCTTTTAATAGCCACGATCTGTTACAAATGACTTGAACCAGAAATAGTATTTTCTTTTACCAGCACCCTGGAGCATCATATTTCATTTTAAGAGGGATGTTCTGTCTGCTTAGACATTGCTTTACTTATGACTACCAGGGAAAACCAATCTTAAAAGAGTCCCTTGGAGCAACACTGATTTCTTGCCTGGGAAGATAGCCATAGTTTTGACTCATTGCTATTCTTCTCTGGCAGAACAGTTAATCAGGGATTTGACTGCTTGTCCTCACAGTCTCTGCAATCTATTATAGGGACCATTTAGAAGTTACTTCTTAAATCCAATACAAGCTAACTCCATCACAGAGAATGCAAAGTTCTCGACCTCGTTGATGGAAACACTAGAAGAAGACAGGAATTCAATTAGAGCAAATTTAACTGACTAAAGGCAGGACAAGAGAGGTTTTTAACACTTGCAGAACTGACAGCAGACTATACATCATATGCAATTTCCTTATTCATGTAGGCCTACCATTTAAATTGCTTGCAGTGGATTTACACACATTAGGAGCTATAATGAGGAGGGAAGAAAAGTAAAGCAATGCAGACTTGCAAAGAATGTCCTATCGCCTCGTTGTACACCTGCTAGATCAGACTAGGAAGGCAAGAGCTAAGGAATTACTATTTCCAGAGGATAACTATATTGGCAAAACATGGACTTCAACCAGAGAACTGCAGGAGGATGTAGAAAAGCTTATTTAGGATGTGAGCGCGTTTAGAATCTGGGGCTGACTTATGTTGGACATAACAACAGACTAAGGGAAAACTTTAAAATGATCCAAACACTTCAAGCAAACCAACGCCTTGTAAGCATCTCATCTTGACAACCGTAAAAAAAAAAAACAGGTATTGAGTAGGTTGAATTATTAAAACACAGTTGGAAATTGCTGAGACCACGATGATCATAAATAGGAATAATCTGCGTGCAAAATAAAGACACGGGCAAAGCAGCGCAGGAGGGGACAGAGAAGGAGGACAGGAATGGAGCAGTCTGGCTCGCTTACTCCGTGCTCTATCACAGGCTTCCTACATGACTCAGAGGCCAGTAAACATCCTAATACAAGAGTTGGTGTTTAAAAAGCCTTTTAAAGAATATACTGAGAAGCTGTGATATCCATGAAGGAATGGCAGACAATATGGAACTGACTTTGTTTAGAGGAAGGCCGAGTCGTACAACTGTGGGAAAAACGACTTTCTACTAAAGGAAGTAACATTTCCAAATTTCTTTCCTTCCACGTTGCCAGTAAAACTTCCCTTCGCATCTTAGGCTATTGTGTATTTATATTTTGCTTCCTAAGAAAAAAATTGAAAGAATGAAAAATTGGCAAGAAGCAAGCCATACTGATTTCTACATTCAAGATACATAAATATATGCACTGCTTAAACAGAACCAGTTCCTGTATCAATAGCAATGTACACACAATGACAAAAAACCTACGCAGAACATAGTCTTTGTAACTGTACAAGAGAAAAATGCTACAAATGTGGTTTTAAAAATTAGGAAAGAGTATCAAGGCAAAAGAATACATATATTCTACACTATTATATATTATATAATACACATATTCTACACTAGAAATTCTTACTTTCATACAGAAATGGAGAGACCACCTCTGACCTATGCCACCACCTATACCTGAAGAAACCAAAAGACAGAAGGGTGCCCTTTAACAACAAACATTCTTCCTTACACTACTGTCACCTCAGATTATTTTAGGTCCCACTGTTTCATTCCCTATCACCATAGCAGTGCTTAAGCAAAAAAACATACTTCCATTTCTTCAAATGTTAGCAGAAGTCAGAACAATTTAAAATTGCTCATATTCGAATCTCAAATTCAAGAGTTGCTGTCTGGAAACCCAGGCTCAGATTGTGCAAGTTTAAAATGTATGAAAAAACAGATGGGCTGAGCCTCAATTCATATTAATATTTCCCTGCTTGCTAAAATGTTTTTTTTAAAGCATTTCCTTGGCTATCAGCAATTTTTAGCAGCTTAGAGCATGTTTGAATTTGGTCTTAGAATATTAAGACTTCTGCAAACGTCAACCTACTTGATTCTAATGGTCTCGGGCTGCAAAGAGGATGACTTTTCCAACTCTAACTTCCCTAACATGATTCTTTTTCTGATCCTGAGGTAACAAAAATTTCTATTCTCTCAGAAGATGAAAATATATAAACCAAGCCATATACTCACAGTCCTGCTTTTAACAGCAAGCAAACAGAAGCTGACTTTCCAAAAAGCTTTTGTCCAATCCTTCGCAAAAGAAACAGAAGTACTAGCCAGGGAACTTTGCGCATGAACATCTGCTAGAGGCTACATCAAAGCAAGAATTCAATAAAAATCCACTAGAAACCCAAAGTCTAGGGACTCTCCTGGGCCTTCACGAAGTCCACAAAACAAAATCAAATCAAATAATCAATAACTTCCCTGTACTTTCAGAGTTCCCTTGATGCGCATTCCTCACTATGCTTTGAAGACAAGTTTAAAAGGAAAAAAAAGCTTCTGAACAAAGCTCTACTTAACAAGAAGCAGCTTTAACCCAGATATCCCTTGCAACTTTGACTAAAATAAAGAATAACAAAAGATTCCTGT